TGCTTATTAGAAGTGAAACACTTTATTAGGAAATTTACTAGATAACTCTTTAACCAACTCATTCAATTTAAGGAGAATCTTTAATAAAAATAGAGTTCCCTAGAGATGTTTAAATGTACGAGGACTCATACTGCTTTCTTTCATAGTAAACTTTGCAGAATTTTTAACCAAAGAAATGTTTGCTTGATTAAAATATTCTCACATTATCGAATCCTTTCGGCTCATAAAAATTTACAAAAGGAGATCCAGCATTTTCATTTGAACTGAGTACAAGAGGTAGAGTCAATAAAAGCGTTTCATTTGATAAGAAACTTTTCACTGTATACTCAGCTCTATTGATAAATAACGAAGTTATTTAAATTGATAGTGGACAAAACTATTCAGATAGATTCGATTCTAACTTTTTAACCTCAACTACAACAACAACTACAACAACAACTACAACAACATCAACGACAACTACAACTACTACAACTACAACAACAACAACTACAACAACATCAACGACAACTACAACTACTACAACTGCAACAACGACAACGTCAACGACAACATCTACAGCAATATCAAGTTTTACTACTAATTTTCCAGTCACCTCTAGTTAAATTACAGTAACTACTCCTATCCCTATCTCTACTAGTCAAACCTCAACAACTTTGAGTCCAATTTAAATTTCATAAGGATTTATCTCAATTTACCCTTTATTACCTGTTATTAAAGCATAATTGGTTGATATTTCTAGCTTTATGACTAGTTTTTAACCAATAGCATACAGTTTTAATATATAGTTTCCTATAATTCTGAATGCTTAAATGACTTTGTAAATCAGATTACCTTTAGAGATTCAGTATAGTGATGGTAATTCAAAATTTGAGCGAATTAAATTATCTATTAAAGAGGTAACAATTGAATTAAAATAGTGCACTTCTGAAATTTAGAAGTCTTAAATCATTATCTAATGCATTGATCCGTTAAATTTGGAAAAAGAAAGAAGATAATTGCTATAAAATGAATATTAGAATATTATTTTCACTATTGAAGGGTTAAAAAATCCGAGATCAACAACAAAAACTGGTCCATTTGTAATAGCTTTGCTTGATATATAAGGTAGTATTATTGCAAAATCCTAATCCAATTTGAGTATTTAAATGACCTCTCATTCTTAATAGCAGATAAAATAATTTAAGGTAACACCCTTGAGTTATGTTAATGGAATCAAAACACCATACTAATTTACAATGATAACTCCTACCTACCTTTAAGATGGAGATTATATTTTGTTTTTTGTTACATAACCATCCTCATTACCTTCAAGTGTGACTTGTTCCCCTTTATTAAGTATTAAAAGAGTAGACTGTTAGGCATTTAACCGTAGAACTTAGAGCGGTATAAAGGTCAAATTTTAATTTCCTACTGGTATAATTGAACAAAATAGCAAGATTATTTTTGAAATTTAGGATATGATCAACCCTCCAAACACTAGAGATTCAAATTATATTAATTACATATATTTGTACAGTTATGATGATAAACTAATAGGTAGCTATCTTGATTCAATCAGTATTTAAACTAGCTTACCTGGAATCGTTTTAAATGCTACATTGTATGTAAGTGAACTGCCTCCATTTACATATTAAATATTTTACAAAAATATGATTGAAATGCCTTCAACTGTCTCATACATAATAAAATATCCTCAAATTATGCAGTTGAATTCTAATTTCTAGAACTGTAGCATTTCAATAAATGAAGCTAATTACTCAATAAAATGTAAGAATTTCCGATAAAATTAAACACTAAGAGTTTCAACATAAGACATTCCATAATCTATAGCTCCTTTCTCTAAAATAATAATAAACATAATTGATATTTAAGAACCAATAGATTTTGATGAAAAATAAGAATAGTTTTAAGTTATTTCATTCACAGATTCAAGCTATAACTTTCCTATTGAAAAGATTGAAGGTAATCTAGTTCCTCAATCTAGGTGCAATTTTCCTTGCAGAACTTGCTTATTTACTGATAGAAGTCATTGCCTGTCTTGCTACATAAATAAATCCAATATTCCCTAGAAAATTTTGATGGGAAATTAATGTTTAATAGATTGCCCAAATAATTTCTTTAGGAGTTTAGATTTCAAATGTAATGAATGTGATTTTAGATGTTTAACCTGCGACAAAGACGGTTAATGCTTGGAATGCAAGCAAAACTATCCTTTTTACATGTAAGAAGAAAAATACTGTAGTGATTAATGTCCAGATTAATACGAAATTACTGGAAATTAACACTGCATAAAATGTATTGATGGATATAATTATGATTAAAATACAAGGAGTTGCTAAATTGAAAGTCTAATTGCTTCAGATTAAACTTTAAAAAACAAAATCATCCTCATTTTATTATCCTTCTCTTCAATTATCATGATCATGCTAGTACCTCTGTTTATATTTGCAAAAGAAAAGGAAAATTCTACAAACCAAAAAGTATCAATAATAGTGGCATTTTGGAGTTTATTAGAATTCGGATGCTAAGTATTATAAATAAATTTACTCTTAACTGACAGTACTAATGAAGTATAGTTCTGGCTATGTTTAATAAGTGTAATTAGTATTCTATTGATTTACATGCTAAATATCTACAGTTTCATTTACTTCTAATATAAACTCTCAGCCACTGATGAATTTTAATAAATTCTTAATGGATCTAGCAAAAATGATAAATGCTGTATTATATCTGTAAGACTCTCTATCTTGCTATCATTTAAATTTCAAAAACTTTTTTATTCTTATTTTTTGGACAAAGCATATTTTAGGTGTGAATTTCAAAATATGAATTACATTTTATATAGAGATAAAATATTATTAGCTAGTAACTGTGGAATATAAATTATTCTGATCATTATGAGCTATTTGGGATATATTTATAAAAAATCTATAGATGATAATTATTTGTTATTTATCATATTCATAATTCAGATGATAATTCTAATGTTAAACATATTTCTACTATTTTAAAAAGATGATCCATTAATTGATCTAAGTACTAATGATTTTGACAAAACAAAAGATAATACTAATGAAATAAAGTCAATTGAAATTAAAACTGATGGAAAATAAAATCTTGAAGAGGAAAGTTGGAAGACGAAAATGCATAAGAAAATGACTCATAATAAAAAAATCATTAATAATCAAAATCAGAATAATCCTTTAATTCAAGACATGCAAAAGTTTATGATATATCATCCATTGATAAAAAGAAAGTCCACAAATTATGATTATAATGATTCTCTAGATTCTGATAGTTGAGCTATAACAACAAGGAATATTATTAAGATATGAAGTCAAGCTACGATTAAATGTAGCTTGATTATTTTAAAATGAATAGTTAAATTTCAAAGCTAGAATTATATATTTGTATGATTCTTTTGATTTTTAATTTAAATTTATAAAAACGTTAATTGTGCAATATCTAATAACGCGGGGTTTTGGGGTTTTGGGG